TTATCGCGAGTCAACTCCAAAAATCTTATTTAACATCGATTTTTATGCTCTTTCGCGAATGAAATGCCCATCAAGTGCGTTGTTGGTGSCTGCAGTAACAGGCCAGATATTTTGMAGGGAATCGACCCTCAAGTTACGACGACCCGAAGCAAGAAAARGACGGAAGAAGTGGCTCAACTTTGTCAAAATCAAGCGTGCCAAATGCACAAGACGAATAAACCATACCGCTATATATTTATTGAGAAATGTCAAGAGCCTACCGTGAACTCAGTTTACTAGTAATAGGGCTGGAATTCCAGCAAATTCTTTTGGCCTCGGCACAAAATACGCAAAACAGCCATAAGTCATTTGAGGCAAAGTTCTCTATGCCCGGCAGTCTAAACTTCTCGTACTCGAGAAAATGAATTAAGTGATAAGGCACATGACTGAAAATATTCTTCCTTTCAAGCGCTTTTCTAATAAATTTCATGAAATGAAACGACTACGAATCCAGAAATGAACACTCTTTCGTTCTTGAAACATATTAAGCGCTTTCCAAGCGATCCAGAAGCAAAGCGTAGAGTTTTAGTCATGTTTTCAGTTGAAAATTATCAGTGCCGGGCATCGTATTTCCCCGATTTTGAAACCGCCGATCAAGCTCAGCGCTTGACATTTCTCTGCAAAGGAAGAATATTTTCATGTCTGTAATCGTGGTTGTTTATATTTCATTTTCTCGAGAAATTTAGACTGCCGTGTATGTACATAGTCTTTCGCGAGGTAAAAATTTCGAAGTGCTTCAAATGACTATTTCGTATTCTGTGCCGAGGACAAGGAATTTGCTGAAATTCAAATCTACTGAGTTCACGCCAAGCGCTTGACAATTCTCAATGAATATAAAACGGTTTGATACATTCAATCTTAGCGGTTTTATTGATTTTTGTGAGAAAAATAGACTTTTATAATGCATTTTAGTCTTTTGCGACCGAACTTATGGCCTGGGATGACGTCACAAGAGACGCGCCAGTCCCCGCTYGGACAAAAGAATTTTACGCACTTAATTTTAGCTTTATTTTTCCGATTTCGTCCCAACCGTTTACAAAATAATCACCAAACTTTCACAGAAAGGCTTACAAGGTTCATAAAAATTGTTTTAGATAATAAAAAAAAATCGTGAAGGTGCACTTTAAATCCTATAATAGTCACAGTCACACTGAAAAGTGGGATCATTTTTGGGCCAAATTGACCGAATAGCTCTGGTTCACTACTTTGTACCACTGAGCATGTGCAGTTGACGAATTTCAATGCTTGATAATAGCCGCGATTTGCGAATTTCGCCTCAGTAGTCACACACAACGGAATCAAGACGAGGCGCCGTGCATAAGGCTCATACATTCAACAATATTCTTTTTTTACAATGGACTG